TGAAACTGTGGAGAATTTGTTTCCAGTGACTTTTAGAAAAAAATGTTCCGGCATGTTCCATTAATATCCTGATGTGTTGAATTACCACAGTTAGTTTTCACTGAGTTTCTGAGAATATTCTAAGAGTCTTTAAGCCGAATATTGTAACATTACGTGCTGAGAATGAGAAATTTTATGAATATTTATGACACCCGTAACTGACAGACAGCACTTGAGCACAGAATCTAGTAGTGGAAGCCTAGCTACACTGTGTAGAATTCACATTTAGCTACAACGCATAGGCTGAGGCCTAGCAACAGCATGCAAGCTTAACTACATTACATTGGTTCCAGTGTCTCACTGTACTAGAGCTGTGTGTTAATTACCTGCGTCTCTTTTTCTCTCCAGAGCAATACTCAGAATGACGCATGGATGTTTGCCTTGTCCATTCTCCTCAGCAGTACCTTCGTCTATAACAGCATGGGCACCATCGATCAATACGCTTTGGAGAAACTCCAGTATCCTTATGTGCCAGCTGAAGCATCCAGTTGTTGGCAAATTGTAACCTTGTATTCTTCTCCTTTCACACACTGGGTGTCACTGGGTGTCACGCTCTGTAGCTGCTGGTAACTCAGAACATGGTTCCATTTCTAAGAGAACCAGTGTTTGAATTGAGCTTAGCTTCATTAGAGTCAATGTTTTAAAAGGTGACACACACATGATCCTGTTTTCCCCCACCACTACTGTGTGTTTTTCTGTTCAGGAATGTGTTATTTTAACTCCTCCACCAATGGAGGTGTTATATCGCTGTCTTATCAATCAATTTGCCCAATGTGCACTCCTCCGTCAGGCTTAATTGCTCTTAATTTCTATGCTGGTTATATAGGAATACAGGACTGGTACGCTATGCTGTAGCATTCTCTGCTGCCTGCTCAGTAGCTGGGTGGATGTGCTTGCCTGTGCACACCTGCTCTCCAAGGTCTCTGCTGCTAGTGCTGTCAGGAGATCACATACACACACACACACACACACACACACACACACACACACACACACAGAGAGAGAGAGAGAGAGAGAGAGAGAGAGAGAGAGAGAGAGAGAGACTGGGCTGGCAGTGGTAGTGGTTCAGTGATGTAAGGGGAGGGAATGAAGAGAGAGAAAACTCGGCATTATTTTATTCTCCTCATTGCCCTCCCACACACTTTCTTCCTCATCATCCTTCCCAAGGAATGTCACTCACCTGTGTGACTCTTGAGTATGTGAAGACCACAGTCTGGTGCATTTACAGTGTGATAGCAAAAAAAGAAGAAGAAAAGGAAAAGAAAATCCGATTTTCAAATGAATGACGATTGTATCAGAAGCATCCATATTGGTCTCGGTGATAGAGTGCGCTTAGTTTTATTTTGGGTAAATGTTGTATTTTACTGTTTTATATGTTATGTACTTGAAAAATCAAAAGAAAAAAAAGAAAAACGTCTCCTTCTTTCATGCACAGAGGAAATACCTTCTCTTTTATGCTGTTTGGGATGTCACATCACCAAAAAAACAAATGAAACAGACTCTTTGTTTTTTCCACAATTGCATTTATTCATAAGCAATGTTTCTTTAAGTAAGCGAGAGTTGTTCTAAGGGTTTTAGCGAGGGTGATGAGGAGACCCAGAGGCAGAATATCTAAATGGGATATTCCTGAAAAATGAAGGGCACTTGCGGGATTCTTGCCCCGTCTCAGTTTCCTTAACGTAATCCCAGGTATGTGACGGAGCTGACCAAGCACATCAAAGTGAAAGCTTCACCCAAGAAAACCTCTGAAGAGGATGAGAGTGACTTCCTCAGGTTCTTCCCAGTTTTCATCTGGGCTGTGCGTGATTTTTCACTACAGCTCAAGCTGAACGGACGCCGTATAACTGAGGACGAATACCTGGAGAATGCCTTGAAGAGGAAACCAGGTAGCTTTGAATGGGGAAAGTTGGACACCACTTCCAGTGGTTGCAGCCACTTGGCATTGCCTTGCCTTTCTCCAGTGTAGAATATCTTTCACTTAATCTTCTCCCTTTCAGGATTGGCTCTTGGGCTTCAGTTTTCCCCCTTGGCCAAATGCTTTCGCTCTTTGTTATGTTAGGGTTTATGCTGCAACCTGCATTCTTCAAACAGATTGAACTCTCAACATCATTATTTATTATGTTTCCCCAGCTGACTAACTTTACAGTGGTGCCCTGCTAGACGACGACCTTGTAAAATGATGAATGCGCATGATGATGAGGTTTTGCAATCGCTATAGCGATTCGCAAAACAGTGATTCCAATGGGCGATTTTCACTTGACGATGATTTGGACCTATGCTTCGCAGGACAGCCATTCTTACAGCTGATTGGCGGCTTCGCAAAATGGCTTCCCTATGTTTTTGGGACCCATGCTTCTCGGGACAGCCATTTGTACAGCTGATCGGCGCTCAAAAAATGGTTTCCCTATGGGCGAACTTTGCAGAACGATGATGTATTTTCCTCATTGGAACACATTAACAGGTTTCAATAAATTCCAATGGGGAAACGGTTTTCACATGACGATGATTTCGCTACACAGCTATTTTCGTGGAACAAATTATCATTGTCATGCGGGGCACCACTGTGTTCTGCATCTTTCAGGATGACGTAGGAATTCAAATAGCAACTTACATCTGGGGTGGGGAAAGGATGGTATTCAGCATCCCTGTAAAGCTTGTTGGCTTGACCTTGGCTGTGATTCTCTCCCCTAGACAGCCCTGAGACTCTTGACCTTGCCAAGAAATGCATTCGTCAGTACTTCCCCAGCCGCAAGTGCTTTGTCTTTGACCGCCCTGCTGGAACGCGAGACTTAGAGGACCTGGAGGACCTGCCTGAATCAAAACTGTGCCCTGACTTCTTGGAGCAGTCGAACAAGTTCTGCCAATACATTTACAACAATGCCCAGCCAAAAATTATCCAAGGGGGCCACAGAGTGACTGGGAAATGTGAGTGGAAGCAACAGGTTGGGTTGATTGGCTCGTGAAAAGTCCTGGAAGGAGGACTGGAGGATGGACTTCTCCGAGATACTATGGCAAGATTTGTAATGAAGGCAGTACAACTCTACCTTGCCGGGGGTGGGGGAGGGAATAACAACCTGCAGGAATATGCTTTTTCTTCCTCATTCTACATCACTAAATTGACAGACAAGGTTGACATGTCCGCTTCTACATTAACACAATTTTCTCCTATCTAAGCTAGTTTACTTCTCTGTGCTCAGATTTTCCAGAATTTATAGCAGCAACCTATTCTGAAATCCAATATCAGGCTTAGAGCTTGAATCCAAGACTGAATGAACTAAACAGCTGGCCTTAAGGAAGTTTCATTTCCTTAGTTCTAGACTCTCCACCCTGGCAATCTGTAATATGGAGATGATTACCCTTGTTGGACTTCAGGTCAGGCCAAGACGTTTTGTTTCCTGAGGTGGGACAGTACTGGGCATCAAGCAAGGCGCTGTCCTACCAAGGCACATATGATTTAAAGCTACCACAGTTAATTTGGCACAAGACACATAAAGCTCCACTCAACAGTAAACAGATGTGATAACAAATTAATTAACAATTTGCTGTCCTTATGAACTCTAAAATTTGCTGCTTCATTCCAGCTGATGAGAGGATTGACCATTTCTCTCTTTGAGTTGTAAAGAAAACTGACATTAATGCAGGCCATTTTTTCCTTATTCAAAATATCTCTGAAGTAGTAAATCAGTGTAAATTCAATTGTTAGCAAATGAGATTAGGCAGGTAATCTCATTTTAGTAACTGATGCTTATAAATATTGATACAGTGGCTCAGGTACTGGAGGAAGCACAACGGAAGCATGTTCTAAAAGAACAGTTCCTCAACCTCTTGGTATCCTGTCCCCCTTTGGATTTATGAGGAATCCTTATGCCTTCCCTTTTTACGACCTTAAGAAAAAGCACTAGTTTGTAATTTAAAAGTAAAAACAATATTTTCGATTATAATTGAGAACAAGGATTTTTTTTCCCTTTCACAAAAGTTGCATCCATCAACTGTATATGTCTCCATAAGCTGATAAAAACATTCCTTTCTCTATGGAAGTATCGCATTCTCATGACCCCTTGACATTTCTTTGGGGCCACACCTCACGGTTGGCCAAAGAATGTTCTAAGAGGTCAGTAAATATTTATATATTATAAATAATTTTACTTTGCCCTGCAGCCATTATTCAGTCTGAGACCCTCAATGAGAGGAAGGCTAGAAGGTAGATAAATAAAAGTGGATGGAACATGACTGTACTGCTTGCCATCCTCCCTCTTTGCAGCTTTTGGACACCTAGTACAGACCTACGTGGATGCCATTGCAAGCGGGACCGTCCCCTGCATAGAGAACGCCGTGACCGTCTTGGCCCAGATTGAGAATACAGCTGCGGTTCAGGACGCCATTACATGCTATGAAGCTGCCATAAAGCAACGCGTGAAGCTGCCAACGGAGACGGTCAATGAGGTGCTGGAGGCCCACGGCGAGTGTGAGAAGGAAGCCCTCAAAGTGTTCATGGCCCGCGCCTTCAAGGACGACAACAATGAGTACCAAAAAAAACTGGCGGTAAAGAGATTAATTAATTGGTGGGAATGAGATTTAAGGCCGAACTGTTCATTATGGATAACTCATGATTAGAGCTGAAAGGACCTCATTACTCCAGAGATAAGATTTGGGTATATCTGAGAAATCAGTCTTCCTGATGAAGCCTGGCGTACTAGATCCGAAAGACCACCACAAACTGAAGCAAAAAAAATTTGCAAATTTGTGAGGTGAGAAAACCTCCTGCTTTGAAAGATTACAAAAGCCTTCGAAGCAGGAGGTCACATACTGAAAGCTTTCAAAGCTCACATACTGAAAGCTTACAGTATGTGAGGAAATATCTCAATTAATGAATTATCCGTAATGTAAAGTTTGGCTCATAGGGTGAAGCAAATGGGAATTCCTACCTAGATGATTTTGTTGATAATAAGTTGGATAATTGAAAATAGAGGCTTCTTTGTACGGAATGGTAGGCTGATTCTTGGGTTAATTTAGGGAGTGACTGACATATCAAAGACCTATATATGTAGCAGAGATATTCTAACCTTTGACTGGATTGGGTTGGAACGGATTGAGTTTCACTCTTCTTGGAGTGTAGCCAGAAATGCTGACAGGACAGTTTGGAGGAAACCAAGATGGTGGACCTTTCATTCCATAGACAAAAGTGGGCCTCCGAGAGGAGATTTATCACATAAAGATGTAAATCTTGCCATGAGTATCAAAGATACCCGAAACCCTCCTCTGGGTCTCTTAGTGTCTAGACACAAGCTCCTTCCTGCACTCCCTTTTGGGTATGATTATTCCAGAAGTCTGAAATGGAAATTGTCTGCTTTTTCTCCCAGGTGTGTTATTGTCATGCTTGTGATGGCTGATGGTCCTGCTTGGAAGAGTGTCATTCCATTGCTTCCCTTTTCCACTGGTCCACCTGCCCTAAAACTAACCCATGAGTTTATGCTGTCAAAAGATTTTGTCTTCATTCCCCATTAGAGAATCTAAAAGGGATGTGGTGGCGCTGCGGGCTAAACCGCAGAAGCCTGTGCTGCAGGGTCAGAAGACCAAGCAGTCATAAGATCAAATCCGCGCAACGGAGTGAGCGTCCGTTGCTTATCCCAGCTCCCGCCAACCTAGTGGTTCGAAAGCATGCAAATGCAAGTAGATAAATAGGGACCACTTCGGCGGGAAGGTAACAGCGTTCTGTGTCTAAGTCGCACTGGCCATGTGACCACGGAAGATTGCCTTCCAACAAACGCTGGCTCTATGGCTTGGAAACGGGGATGAGCACCGCCCCCTAGAGTCGAACAAAATTGTCAAGGGGAACCTTTACCTTTACCTAAGAAGCCTCCAAGTTTGGGAAGTCCTGGAGCAGGGCCTACGGGACCACTGTCCACAGGGCCCATCCGTTCCATCTGAACTTGCCTCTCTGTTTTCTCTTCATTGTCACAGAACCAGATGAAATCCAAACTTCAAGAGCTGATTTCTCACAATGAGCAGGTGTCTTTAGATCGATGTCAGGCTTTGCTTATGGCCCTGTTCCGGTTTGTGGAGGAGAGGATTAGCAATGGAAGCTACTCAGTGCCGGGTGGCTACCAGATGTTTCTGGAGGAGCAGAAGGAAAAACTACAACATTATGAGCGGGCGCCTAAGAAAGGTTTAATGGTGAGTCAAGGCTTTCTGCCCTGTGAAGCCCTTTTCTCTAAGCCCAGCCCTCCTTCAGAATAGTGAACGGAGAGAAAGTTTCTTAAAGCGATGCAGTTCCATAAGGGTAGGTCCAGGAGAAGTCAAGTTGACTGGCCATACCTCAATGGGGTCTCACATCATTTTTTCACAGTCATGCTCATCATTTGGTATGCCACAAAATATTTTCTCTTTTCCTTATTCCTACCTCCACCACATTTTTCCAGGCTGCTAAGGCCCTCCAAGACTTCCTGAAATCCAGGGAAATGACAGTCCAGTCCATCCTGAAGGCGGATCAGATCCTCACAGACAAGCAGAAGGAAATTGAAGGTGAAGCCTCCGTATCTTCCCATCTGTGTTGTGTGTTTGAAACAGGGGAACTTTTAGCCTTCTTTTCTGCT